TAATAGGCTGAAGGGTGAAGCCTTCCAACAGCCATACCTTATCTATGTATTTTACCACAAACTTAAACTGAAATATGTGACACTTATGAGGTAAGATGTGGGACACATCTTTTCTTAAGATTCTCTTCTATTCAGGGGCGCCTGGGTGGCTCAGTGAGTTAAGCCTCTGCCTTTGGCTCAGGTCATGATCTCGGGGTCCTGGGATCGAGCCCCGCATCAGGCTCTCTGTTCAGCAGGGAGCCTGCTTCTCCCTCTCTCTCTGCCTGCCTCTCTGCCTATTTGTGATCTGTCAAATGAATAAACAAAAATCTAAAAAAAAAAAAAAGATTCTCCTATTCATTCCCCTGTACCAGATAAGGTTCTTGACTGTAATGCCAACAGACATTCTCAGAAGCACAAAATGTCCTATTTGAGATGTGTTATCTCTCCAGAGTAAAGCAACTGTGAGTCAGGCTGCTTCCTCTGTGTGTGAGTAGGCTCTATCCCTCACTTGCTACCCTGGTCTTCCTATGGCTACTCTTTTTTTAATGTTCCTTCCCTGATTGTGATGGTAATACATGCTTTTTGTAAAAATGTGCATAGAACAATAATCAGAGAACCTGTCCTTCAAACTCTGTGACCACATCACCTTGACAGTTTAATTTGTCTTTCTCATTTTGTGTTTGTATGTTCACATAATTGTGGCCTTATGGTCGATATTATTTATACACTGTTTTAAAAATTGTAATGCAAAAATAATAAAGTCATTTTGTTATAGAAATTTTGGAAGATTCAGAAATGATTGAAGTTAACCTGGTTATTTTCTTTTTGTCTCCCTGATTTGCACATATGTATTTAGATTTTTATTTTTATAAATATGGTCCTATGAGTTATACAGTTTTTATTACATATTTGCTTTTGCTTGATAGCATAAGTATTTACCGAGTTGTTGTACACTACATAAATATAATTTTAAGTGGATCCAAAATATTTCATGGAAATATAATGATTATTTAACTTTTCTTCCAATCTCAAACATTTAGATTTTTTTCTGATTTTAGAAAAAAAATGGAAAACAAGTATTATTTGTCAGAGATATTTCCTGAAGAAATAATTACAGAATTAAACGCCAGGATCAAATGTTCATTTCTACATGTTAGATGAGCTCCATCTGTGCTATACTGAGAATGGACCAAATGACAGAATTGCCACCAGGATGGGTGTGGGAGGCTGAGGCTTAACCAGAAACAGTTTCTTTCTTTCTTTTTTTTTTTTTAATTTCTTTTCAGCATAACAGTATTCATTATTTTTGCACCACACCCAGTACTCCATGCAATACGTGCCCTCCCCAAGATAGAGAATGGGGCGAGGAGAGGCTGCAGATTCTGGACTTTTGAACCCAAATCTCAAGAACTCAGAGGTATGGCCACAGTTAGAATATCTGGTTTCAGGAGGAGAGTCACATATAGACCAGGCCCATTGATGGTGTCTAGGCAAGAGGTGAGCTTATAAATTACCCTAAGAGAGAGCTCTCTCGCATGCATGCTGGGCTGAAGCCCTAGCCTGGGCCCATGCTCATGGAAGCCAAGGCTCACCCAGAAGCTGACTGTTAAGCGCAGACCAAGAGGAGTGAAATCTGTGGCGAGAATGTGCTGTGAAGTCAGACTGTGAAAGCCAGAGTGGTGATCTCAGAAACAGAGTTTTGTTTCCCCCAAGGACTGGACAACCTTGGACTGGGCAACCTCTCTGTTCCATGCTTAGGTGGGGTGAGGGTGAGGATACTTGCTCTTTGTGCTCATGTTTCTGAGCAACCCTCCTCTGCTCCACACCCAGCACACTTCTCTGATGGCCTGACTTCTATGGAGCCTTGCTCCGTCTGACTCTTCTGACACTTACCCATGTAAAGGGACTGAGATGACTCAGTCTATGACATTCAATGACACAGGTGAATTCAAGGCCTCCATATTTCTGTGTTCTTGTGAGGAAAGAGGCACCTGCTGTTGTAATGTCTCATGTCACCCTGCCTACACGGACAAAATGAGACCAAAAGTCTGAGCCTTAGTAAATCACCTGCCACGGAAAGGCACAGATCCTGGTGGAATGTCAGGGATCACCTAGTGCTACAAGAAATCTCTGCTGTTTCCTTCAGAACAGTGTCATCAGAGTGGACTGAGGGAACAGCATCTCAACTGTCCTGGTCATACGATCCCAATTCATATAGCAGCTAATGGAATGAACTTGGTGTAAAATGGAGAGACCCTCACCCACAGCCTGAGAGTATGTTTGACAGCAGGAGCGTGTGTATACGGTGGATATGTTCTTTCCATTAGCTGTGGCCTTTAGGTAGTGAGCTAGTTGACTGGTTTAACTGTTCTTATTTTATCTTACAACACCTGAGCCAGTGCTTGCAGAGCCCCTAACAGCAGAGGCCAGTTTGACTTCAAGCATTTTCCACAAATCAACAGAGTTGAAAGAGATTGTGGGCAAAAATACCCTGAGAAAATAGAACATCATCACTGCACCAGGGCCTTCCTGTCACCCACACTGTCTCCTGCACCACAACCCTCCTCCTGTCTGCACCTCCCAGTCCAGGGCAGCCCAGGTCCAGTTGGAGAAGGAAGGTGCTAAAGTGTTGGAAGCCACAGGAGACACTGCCTAGGAGCCCCAGCAGTGACATCAGCCCACAGAGTTGTAGGTCATTTGTTAGTTTTCCCTCTGTGTCTCCGTGCTTTCCACATGTGGAAGCAGGTTCAGATCTCTAAGTAGAGGCCAGGCATTTGTCCTAAAGAAGTCTGATCACATTCTTGAGAATCAAGAAGGAGATCAAAATTAAGTTTCCTCTTCTTTGTATGTGGTGGGTTTTAGGTTGTTTCTTCTACTTGATGTCCAAAGGCATATGTTTCACAGAAATAAAACTGATTGTAAACAAACAAACAACAACAACAAAAAAACCTTCCCCGTTTTAAATAAGACATTGTTTTAATTCTAATATATTAAAGTTTTTACATTATATTCATTAGTGAATATAGAAAAATACAGTCACTTATATTTTCACCTCCTCTACATACTGAGCATTTGCTTTACATCCATGTTTGTAGAAATATACATGTACAGGGGCACCTGGGTGGCTCAGTGGGTTAAAGCCTCTGCTTTCGGCTCAGGTCATGATCCCAGGGTCCTGGGATCAAGCCCCGCATCGGGCTCTCTGCTCGGCAGGGAGCCTGCTTCCTCCTCTCTCTCTCTGCCTGCCTCTCTTCCTACTTGTAATCTCTGTCTGTCAAATAAAATAAATAAAATCTTAAAAAAAAAGAAATATACATGTACATACAAATTATGTCCTACTTAGTGTGTGTGCATGTGTGGGTGTATTATCTATTATTTCTAAAGTAGATCTGCCAACAGTAGATGCTAATACTGTTGAGGACTTGCATGTATCCAGTATAATTAACTCACCTCATTCATACAACTCTAGGAAACTGGGCACACCCTATTTTCATTTTATGAATGAGAAAGTAACGGCACAGAGAGTTCAAATAACTATAGACCCAAGATTTAAACCCAGGCACGTGGAGTTCAGAGTCCAAGCACTTAACCCCTCCCCAACCCTACCTTTCCATTGTTAGTGCTGCTCTCATTGGGTTCTTGTGAGATCAGGAACATGGTGCCTGTGACACACTGGGACAGATCTGAGCACACCCACCAATCATGTAACAGGTTATACTGTCACCACCGGATCATCTTCAACCAAACAAATGAATCTGCTTATATTTGAAGGAGAAATACCTGGACACTTTCACTGGCTCTGGCTCCCTTGGGGCCAGTGCCCCAAAAAAGACATCATAAGGACTATCTCTGGAAAGAATTAGAAATGTAGAATTGACCAACATTATAACCAGTGCTGACTTCGAAGGCTCAGTTGTTGTGCTGTCCCTCACTTTGGACTCTCAGTTAGATTGCACCAAATGAAAGAACACATAGGCAAAAATAGACTTTTGATTGTTTTTTATTATGCCTATTATGAAAAACAGTACAAAATTCAGGTATCAAAGATTGCAGCTTCTGGATGTGTAGAATAAAAAGCTAGTTGGCTGTGGTTTAACTGTCCTTATTTCATCTTACAACACTCGAGCCAATGCTTACAGAGCCTCATCCAGTAGGGGCCTGTTTGACTTCAAGTATGTACCACAAATCAACCACATTTGACAGAGCGTGTAGACAAAAACAAAACAAAACAAAACAAAAAAACCCTGGGAAAATAAAACACCATCACCACACCAGCGCCCTCCTTCCACCCACACTGTTTCCTGAACCACCACCCTTCCCTCTCTGCATCTCCCAGTCCAGGGCATCCCAGGTCCAGTTGGGGAAGGAATATTTGTAGAAATATACACATACATGTAAATGAGTGTCCAACTTGTAGTATGTGTATGTGTGTGCGTGCGTTTCTATTATTTCCAACTTAGAGTTGCCAACAGTAGATGCAAATGCTGTTGAGGACCTGCATGTACCCAACAAAATTATCTCATCTCAACTACACAATGTAAGAAGACTAATCACTCTAACTCCACTTGACAAATGAGAACAATAGCACCAAGATTCAAACCCAGGCACTTGGGGTGCAGAGTCAAGCACTTATCCTTGGGACAGGTCTAAGCACACCCGTCAGTCATGTGACAGGTTATACTGTTGCCACCAGCGTATCTTCAGCCAAATGATCTGAATCTACTGACCTTTGAAGGAGAAATAAGCTGGGCACCTTCACTGGCTGTGGTTTCCCCTGGGGCCAGTGTCCCAAAGATTGCATCATAAGGACTATCTCAGGGCAAGAATTAGAAATGTGGAATTGACCATTATTACAACCAATGTTGAACTGGATGGCTCAGTTGTGATACTGTTCCTTACCTTAGACTCTGAGTTAAATTGCACCAAATGAAAGAACACAGAAGCAAAGTAGATTTTTTTATTGCTTTTATTGTGCCCATTATGAAAAGCAGTACAAGTTCCAGGTAGCGAGGATAGTGGTTTCAAGGTATGTAAAATAAAAAGTTTCCAGGTAATCATCTTGTTAAAAAGTCCAAGAGACTGCATGCTGGCTGTACTCAGAAGCATGGGGACTGGGTGGCTGAGGAGCTGGTGGACATTAAGGAGACAGCAGTGTTGAAACCACATGGCCCCACCCTGAGTCATGGCAGAATTTGTTCTAGCTGCAAAGTGAAAGCTTCTGTTTGCCCAGTGGTGTGTAAATCAGTTCTGCAATAATGATGCAGTAGAAAAAGACACATGAGAATGGAAATAACCTAGTTTCAGAAAGAAAACCCCACTTGATCCTCAGCAGAGACTTTTAGGGACAATAGCCAATGGGAAAAAGTAGAACCTTGTGCCACCATGTGTTGGGAACTCTTCCCATTGCTATAGAGTGCTGGTCTCCCAAGCAGAGAGACGGTGATGATGATGGAGTAGACCAGGCTCTTCAGGAAGAGGAGGAGGTAGGTGTAGTAGGCAGATGTGTTCATGAGCTGCAGCTGCAGGGTGTCTAAAAGAAGCATTTTATTAATTTCACATGTTTTTTGAAAGGCTAGGATTTATTAATGGGTGAGGGGTGATGGTATACATTTCTGCTGACTTAGGTTCAAGTGACACACTCACACAGCACAAACAGATAGTAAACATCTACATCACCACCACCACCACCAAAACAACTCAGAACCTAGTTTGTAGGTCATGTCAGTCACACATCTGTGAAATTCACCTAGAATTTTCCAAGGTATTAAAAAGTAAGGTTGTGTTTATAAAGAATGAATCCAATGGGAAAAAGGCATTGATAAGAAATATATTTTAGCATTTCTTCCTCCCCACCATGTCTCTAAGTAAAATAAGAGGCAATATCCATTAAGTACAAACTAAATGTCACTTATTTTGAGAACTTTGCATGCAAAGCCCGAATCTTAGTTAATTTTTATAACCTATGAGATCATTATCTTCATTCCAATTTTACAAATAAACAGAGAACACAGAGAGAATCTATTTGTCTAATTTCATCCAAGTAGTAAGTACGAGAATCCAGATTTCAATCCCAGCAACATGGCATTTAAGAACACTTTCTAGGCTGCTCATGTATAAAGTGGGAATAAAATCTTTCACAGTGAGTATTAAGAGAACTAAACAAAATATATTCACAGTCCAACACAACACCTCTGTTTGAGAAGGTCTCCGTGTCAGTTCATGTTACTAACCACCAGCAAAAACAGAGGCTTAAGAATATAAAAGCAAAATGATAGCATGTCCTTAGTCAGTAGAAACAAAAGCCACAGAAGTAAGTGAAGTCTGTTGCTGAAGGAATTCAGAGCACATCACTGCATCCCTAATTTATAGTCTTTTCACACCCAAAACACCATTTTGTGTGAAGAACACTCCTGAGAAATGATGAACTGACTTACTATCACTCAGCTTTATTGCAAGATCCAGCCATTATGAGGCTTCTCCCTGAAGTCAGGGAAATTCAATGGTTACATTGATCAGGAGGAAAAAATGCTACAGCATAAAATAAAGGCAAACATAGAGCAAAACTTACCATTTTCATCATTCAGAGAAGCTTTTGTGGCGTTAATAGCAGAAAGCTCTAAAGAAATGAGAGCAAGTGTTATTTATTTTTTCACATCCCTTTTTTGATGTTTCTATATTGTGCATAGAGGATAGATAGATGATAGATAGACAGATAGAACTGATCAACAAAGAGAAGAGAGACATTACAAATATGAGCTCCACAATTCCAGAAACAGTTGGTCTGATTTTATGTAATTCAGTAGATCAATTAATATACTGTATTTCTGCACCTAAAGGTGTTGCAAATCATGAATGATGCATTTTTTTTCTTTTTTTTCTTATAACTGGAAGGTAATGTATGAGACTATCATGTTTCCTTCTGTGCTTATAGCTCCTAGCACAGTTTCTGTTGCAAAGTAGATGTTCTTTTTATTTATTTATTTTTAAAGATTTTATTTATTTGTCAGTGCACAAGCTTCCAAGAATCAGCACTAGAAATCTGCTGTAGAATTGCATTAATAGAAATGTCTTCATTAATTTTGTTGCTATGAGAAGACCTTGGGAGATATTCCTTTAAGAGATAGGTGCTACGTAAAACACATCATAAACAAGAACTTTTCTCTTACCATAATAATCACCATGGAACTTACTATATTTTTTACTTTTCTTTGATCACTAGAAAAATCAAAACCTAACAGGATAGTTCAGCCCAATTGGTGAATTAAATTTATGCATTGTTCACTTGCTTCCTCTCTGTTAGTTGCAGAAGTTAAAAATTAGGGCTGTCTGTATAATCTTATTTTAGTTAATTTTAGGAAAGGATACAAGTAAATATAATAAATATACAAATAAATTCATCCATGTTATGTTTTCAACAGCAAGCATTTTCTGACATAATCTCATTTGCTCTTCCTCACAATTCAGGTGGAAGCAAAGGTAAATGTTTAACCCAAATTTGATCATTGGACAAACTAAGAATCTGTGAAATAAGAAAAATGCAACCCAGGAAATTTTAAAAATCTAATTGCCTATATTTATCAGCCTGTTCATGAATTGAGCAACATCCTATCTATCAAATAGAGGAGAACCCCAAAGGGCTACAGGAAAGAGGTTTTTCAAGATAGAGAGGGAGTGAAAAAGAAATTATTAGCAAGGAATCCATACTTTCAGGCAAGGTCACGCTCCTAAGGTAATGGAGGGATTTTTCAGCAAAGTTCCTAGTGCTGATCAGGAAATTCCCATGTCTACTGGTTACAGGTTACACTTCTGGGTGTTAAAACTGCAGTTGGGTAGGTATGAAGACTTGGTGTACTGATTTGTGGCCTTCAGCTAAAGGAGTGCATTTTAAGCCTGTGGTTGTTCTTTTTAACAGTCTTTTTAGCAGATCCTTTTGACCAGACTCTCAGTTTAACTGAAAGATGGGTTCTCGATTGAAGGCATTAATACCACGCTCAGCAACTGCTCTGAAGTTCTCAGTATTTGTTGTTCTTCTGGGTGATATTAACAGGTCTTGACCTTTTCACTTAACCCTTGTGGTATTCACAGGTTACCACTTCAGGTTTACAATTTTTGAGTTGGTCATTCTCTTCATTCTTTTGTGATGTTCCAGTCTTAGAAAAATAATTTGCTTGGAGATTACTGGCTTTGAATTTGCACGTCAAGCTTTTGAGAGAATGTAACACACCAGGCAGATTGTTAATGATGCCTATAAACAAGATAACTCCCCATGTTTGAAGAGCTATTTGATGCCACAGTGCCCAAGACTCAAAGCAATTAAAATCAAGTAAGTAAGAAAGACACTGCTGAAGGAGTCACTCTGTTAAGCCACATGGTTTGCACAATAATCTGTTGTTGTTCAGTATTAATGTCCCCAGTAGTGTTCATCTGTTCATCTGGATATAGCACCTGGTATTGCCTACAGCACAGATCCAGCCTTGTTCAGCCATAAACAAGGACTATCTCACTTTGAAAAGCTGTTTTGGTCAGAGTCTAAGGTTTTTTGTTGGGCAGCCATCACTTTAGCAAGGGATTCCGAAACAATTTCAAGAATGGAGGGAAAAGTCTTGATCATACCTCATTTACAGTTATCCCTCACCAGAGAATTAGGGCCAGTCACAAGAGTAAATACTGGAGGTTTCTTGGTAGTTCCTACTAAATCTGGATATAACTTTACGGGAGTCAGACAATGAGATGTCTTATTTACCCTGAGAAAATTCAGGACCAAGGTTAGATTATCTGCTAGCCTGAAATAAAATATTGCTCTTAATTCCAGAGGTTAACCCCCTTGACAATGATGTGGGAGAGACAGGCCATTACCAGAGTAAAGGAAAAGAAAAGAGGGAGAAATGATTTTGTATTTAGTTAAATATGGAGTCTTAAATCCTTGTTTTGGTGAAAGCAGTCTATTTTGATGTCAGCTACTTCTCTTTCCCTCAATTTGATTCAGAAACTCCAGGGTCTGGGCAGGACCAGGTGTCAGGTGGAGATTTCCATAGCTATGTGATGTGCAACTGAGGTTCAATACCTTTTAGTTTTACAGCAGGAGCACTAGGTAAGGTCACTCTTCTACTGGGGTTTGGGGGCTATCTTCCTCTAATGTTGTGTCTAAAATACCTAAATACTTGTGACTGAGAGGATCCTGGGGTCATTTGGGCACCACACTGCGAAGGTAGATATGGGGGTGTCTGTAATGCCATGAATTTGGTAGTCTTCTGTTTATGGCTGTCATCTTTTCAGAGTGGAAAATCAATTCAGGCTACAATGAGTGCTCAAAGGAGCAAAGAGTGGAACAGTCTTATAGTCTTTGGCTTTACGTACCTCTTCCATTATTAATTTTTTATTAGTCTTTTGCAATGAGTCTTTAAATGCAAGGACCTTGAAATGTTTAACCATAAAGGCTTCTGTTTAATTGAGGAATCCTTTTTTTAAGGGCACTTCTTTTTTTTTTTTAATTTATTTTCAGTGTAACAGTATTCATTGTTTTTGCACCACACCCAGTGCTCCATGCAATTGGTGCCCTCTCCAATAGCCACCACCTGGTTCCCCCAAACTCCCACCCCCGTCCCTTCAAAACCCTCAGATTGTTTTTCAGAGTCCATAGTCTCTCATGGTTCACCTCCCCTTCCAATTTCCCCCAACTCCCTTCTCCTCTCCATCTCCCCTTGTCCTCCATGCTATTTGTTATGCTCCACAAATAAGTGAAACCATATGATAATTCACTCTCTCTACTTGACTTATTTCACTCAGCATAATCTCTTCCAGTCCCTTCCATGTTGCTACAAAAGTTGGGTATTCATCCTTTCTGATGGAGGCATAATACTCCATAGTGTATATGGACCACATCTTCCTTATCCATTCATCTGTTGATGGGCATCTTGGTTCTTTCCACAGTTTGGCGACCATGGCCATTGCTGCTATAAACACTAGGGTACAGATGGCCCTTCTTTTCACTACATCTGTATCTTTGGGGTAAATACCCAGTAGTGCAATTGCAGGGTCATAGGGAAGCTCTATTTTTAATTTCTTGAGGAATCTCCACACTGTTCTCCAAAGTGGCTGCACCAACTTGCTTTCCCACCAACAGTGTAAGAGGGTTCCCCTTTCTCCACATCCCCTCCAACACATGTTGTTTCCTGTCTTGATAATTTGAGCCATTCTAAGAGGTATAAGGTGGTATCTCAATGTAGTTTTAACTTGAATCTCCCTGATGGCTAGTGATGATGAACATTTGTTCATGTCTGTTCATATCTTCTGCCCATTTTTTGATATGATTGTCTGTTTTGTGTGTGTTGAGTTTGAGGCGTTCTTTATAGATCCTGGATATCAACCTTTTGTCTGTACTGTCATTTGCAAATATCTTCTCCCATTCCGTGGGTTGCCTCTTTGTTTTGTTGACTGTTTCCTTTGCTGTGCAGAAGCTTTTGATCTTGATGAAGTCCCAAAAGTTTATTTTCGCTTTTGTTTCCTTTGCCTTTGGAGACATATCTTGAAAGAAGTTGCTGTGGCTGATATCGAAGAGGTTACTGCCTATATTCTCCTCTAGGATTCTGATGGATTCCTGTCTCACATTGAGGTCTTTTATCCTTTTGAGTTTATTTTTGTGTACGGTGTAAGAGAATGGTTGAGTTTCATTCTTGTACATATAGCTGTCCAGTTTTCCCAGCACCATTTATTGAAGAGACTGTCTTTTTTCCACTGTATGTTTTTTTCCTGTTTTGTCAAAGATTATTTGACCATAGAGTTGAGGGTCCATATCTGGGCTCTCTACTCTGTTCCACTGGTCTATGCATCTGTTTTTATGCCAGTACCATGCTGTCTTGGTGATCACAGCTTTGTAGTAAAGCTTGAAATCAGTTAATGTAATGCCACCAGTTTTATTTTTGTTTTTCAACATTTCCTTAGCGATTTGAGGTCCCTTTTGATTCCATACAAATTTTAGGATTATTTGCTCCAGCTCTTTGAAAAATACCGGTGGAATTTTGATCGGAATGGCATTAAAAGTATAGATTGCTCTAGGCAGTATAGACATCTTAACAATGTTTATTCTTCTGATCCAAGAGCATGGAATGGTCTTTAATCTTTTTGTGTCTTCTTCAATTTATGTGTGTTCTGTAGTTCCTTGAGTACAGATCTTTTACCTCTTTGGTTAGGTTTATTCCCAAGTATCTTATGGTTCTTGGTGCTATAGTAAATGGAATCGATTCTCTAATTTCCCTTTCTGTATTTTCATTGTTAGCATATAAGAAAGCCACTGACTTCTGTACATTGACTTTGTATCCTGCCACGTTGCTGAATTGTTGCATGAGTTCTAGTAGTTTGGGGGTGGAGTCTTTTGGGTTTTCCATATAAAGAATCATGTCATCTGCGAAGAGAGAGAGTTTGACTTCTTCATTGCCAATTTGGATACCTTTTATTTCTCTTTGTTTGATTGCTGTTTCTAGGACTTCTAATACTATGTTGAACAAGAGTGGTGAGAGTGGGCATCCTTGTGGTGTTCTTGATCTCAACGGGAAGGCTGCAAGCTTTTTCCCATTGAGGATGATATTTGCTGTGTGTTTTTCATAGATAGATTTGATGAAGTTCAGGAATGTTCTCTCTATACCTATACTTTGAAGCGTTTTAATCAGGAATGGATGCTGGATTTTGTCAAATGCTTTTTCTGCATCAATTGAGAAGACCATGTGGTTCTTCTCTCTTCTCTTATGGATTTGTTCTATCACATTGGTTGATTTGTGAATGTTGAACCATCCTTGTAGCCCAGGAATGAATCCCACCTGGTCATGGTGGATAATCTTTTTAATGTGCTGTTGGATCCTGTTTGCTAGGATCTTGTTGAGAATCTTAGCATCCATACCATATTCATCAGTGATATTGGTCTGAAATTCTCCTTTTTGGTGGGGTCTTTGCCTGGTTTGGGGATCAGGGTAATGTTGGCTTCATAGAAAGAGTCTGGAAGTTTTCCTTCTGCTTCAATTTTTTGAAACAGGTTCAGGAGAATAGGTGTTATTTCTTCTTTGAAAGCTTGGTAGAATTCCCCAGGGAGTCCGTCAGGTCCTGGGCTCTTGTTTTTTGGGAGGTTTTTGATCACTTCTTCAATCTTGTTACTAGATATCGGTCTATTCAGGTTGTCACTTTCTTCCTGGTTCAATTTTGGGAGTTTATAGTTTTCCATGAATGCCTCCATTTCATCTAGGTTGCTTAGCTTATTGGCATATAATGGTTGATAATTACTTCTGATGATTGTTTCTACTTTCTTGGTGTTAGTTGTGATCTCTCCCTTTTCATTCATAATTTTATGAATTTGGGCTTTCTCTCTTTTCTTTTGGATTAGTGTGGCCAATGGTTTATTGATCTTATTGATTCTTTCAAAAAACCAGCTTCTAGTTTCATTGATACATTCTACTGTATCTCTGGTTTCTACCTCATTGATCTCAGCTCTAATCTTGATTATTTCCCTTCTTGTGTGGGGATTTGGTTTGATTTGTTGTTGATTCTCCAGTTCTTTAAGGTGTAGAGACAGCTGTTGTGTTCTGGATTTTTCAATTTTTTTGAAGGAGGCTTAGATGGCTATGTATTTCCCCCTTAGGACTGCCTTTGCTGTATCCCATATGTTTTGGACTGATGTGTCTTCATTCTCATTGGTTTCCATGAATTGTTTCAGTTCTTCTTTGATCTCCTGGTTGATCCAAGCATTCTTAAGCAAGGTGGTCTTTAGCTTCCAGGTGTTTGAGTTCCTTCCGAACTTTTCCTTGTCATTGAGCTCCAGTTTCAAAGCATTGTGATCTGAGAATATGCAGGGAATAATCTCAGTCTTTTGGGATTGGTTGAGCCCTGATTTGTGTCCCAGTATGTGGTCTATTCTGGAGAAGGTTCCATGTGCACTTGAGAAGAATGAGTATTCTGTTGTTTTAGGGTGGAATGCTCTGTATATATCTATGAGGTCCATCTGGTTCAATGTGTCATTCAATGCTCTTGTTTCTTTATTGATTTTCTGCTTGGATGATGTCTCTATTACTGAAAGAGGCGTGTTAAGATCTCCTACTATTAATGTATTCATATCAATATGACTCTTTATCTTGATTAATAGTTTTCTTATGTAATTGGCTGTTCCCATATTGGGGGCATAGATATTTATAATTGTTAGATCTTATTGTTGGATAGTCCCTTTAAGAATGATGTAGTGTCTTTCTGTATCTCTGACTACAGTCTTCAGTTTAAAATCTAATTTATCTGATAAGGGAATCGCTACCCCGGCCTTCTTTTGAGGCTTAAGGGCACTTCTTAATGATCTTATCGAGTAGGAGAGTTCCTCCATATGGCCATTGTATTTTTAGGTGGTCATTGTCCTGAGGCCTGGCAGTAATTTTGTAGAACATCAACCTCAAATGGAGTTAACCCACACCCCAGTCCAGCCATATCTGGCCACAAGTGAGTTAGATCCCACATTTCTCTCTGGCATTATTTTGAGGCCTTCAATCTGATGGTTACCAAGCCAGTTCCCAAGGACATACAATATACTTGATTTTGTAATTTTACAAGGTATATGTAATCTGGGAATATAGTTCTAAGGTAAAAAATAAACATGTATATCAGAAAATTGTGTGCTTGACTGTTTAGAATGTAAGGATCCCATTAGCTAAGACATAGGCTTCTCAGGAACAAACAAACACCTAAAAGGGATGTGTCCTGGAATTGGGGATTGTGTGTGTTTTACATGGTAGCTCCTTGCACAGAAGTTTTCTTGAGGTTGATGGGTGACCTGGTGCAGATCCAACCTCTTTTGTGTCTAACTCATACTGTCAAGGAAGTGTTCTTGAGTTAGCAAATGCTCTTACAGCCTCTAAATGCTTGACTCCTGCCTGCCATTTTTTTGTGGCTTTTTCCACCTTTCCCTGTTACCAGTAGCTTTGTCTACACAAATGAAGACAGACAATTATGTGCACATAATGTATGGGAGGTAAAAGATGTTGCTGAGTTTTGGCTACAAAAAGACTCTGTGCATCACCAACAATTCTCCAAGGAACTTGCTGAAGTTTCCACCTGGAGAATTTGATCTAGATTGTTAGGGGCTTGACTCCTGGCAGGCCCTTTTGTCCCTTCAGTTGTCTCTGTGCGAACAATGCCAGATCAATTGGGCTCCAAATCTTCTAGCTCAACTTAACAGTGGCATGCCACTCTGCCAGTCCAGGTTGACCTGCCCTGTAAAGCAAAGCCAATTAGATTAGGAGTTCAAACACAAAGAGAGTGGAGCTTAGAACCAAAGAACTCACCCACAGCCCTTGGAATAAGTGAGAATGCTGAACTCAAAGGGCTCACAGTTAACACCTCTTTGTTTTGCTTTGTCTCTGAATGTCCCTGGGAGTCTACTTCATATTCCAGTGCTGGCAACAAATCTGTTAAAGAATAGAAATTCAACCAAGTAAATGTTAAAGATCTCTAATGGTGCTATTAATCAATCAATTAATGAATCACACAGCAACCCATTATCAAATAGAGGGGAGCTCCAAAAGACTACAGGAAAAGAAAAGGTTTTAACAATAAGGAGTGGAAAAAAGAAAATTATTATCAAAGAATCCATTGTTTTAGGCAGTCACCCTCCCAAGGGGAAAGAGTGAGTCAATCAGGAAAGTTTCTGGGGCTGAACAGGAAATTTCCATATTGACTGGTTGAAGGTTACTCTTTTGGAGGGTTGAGATTGCACTTGGATTAAGTATTAAGTCTTGCTTCACTAACTTGGGGCCGTAAGCTAAGTGTTGCTATTTTGGGTCTTTCAACACTCCAAGAAGACAAAGTCTTACTTCAGAAATTCAAGCGTGTATATAGCAAAGTTCTTCACAGTTCTTGTTATGTACTTTCCCCATTGCTTAAAAAGTGCCTATGAACCACAGGGAAAAGTAAAAACTGATTCTTTCTTATGGGCTCTCTGTGGCCTTGGTCTGTGATGTTAATGTCAGGACTTGACTTGACTTCTGAGTCTAGTGAGTTACTGAATCACAGTGGGATCTGGGCACATTCTGCTGTTTGCCCACACTGTCTAAGTATGACCGGTGTCTACACCAATGGGGCTCTTTTGGGATACTGTGCCTGAATCATAAGTGACCCTGAGTGATTAGGAAAAGAAGTATCTATTGTAGAAGTATCTATTGTACTATCTATTGTAGCCATCCTCCTTGGGACAGTAGTTCATCCTGCATCCCTTTCAGGCCTGGCACACACTAGGACTGCGATAGATGTTTGCTGAGTCACTTTTACTCATGGTAAGAAATACATTCATTGTGCAGAATGGAAGAATGTACAGATTAACCTCACCCATCTCTACTTACCAAATTTTACTTTATGGTGGTATATAAAATACAATTCTGAAAAACCTAAGATCATACTATTATCTACCTTAGCAGCCAAATTACTATTTTGTTGTTGTTGTTGAGCCACAATCTGGTTCCTTTAAATGGACAGCATTTTGACCCCTATAACTCTTGTTTATGGGTTATACTTTGAGTAGAGAAAGAATGAAGTGAGAAGGACTTTGCTGAGTAGAACATTCTTTTGAAAGCTGTATAATTGTTCTTATTTCCTGATCAAGTAAAGTCATCAAAAGCGAACTCCCTGAACATTTCTTTTGTGTGAGGTTGCTAGGTGTTTCCCTGTGTATTATTTCATTTAATCCATGAAATGACTATAAAGAATATTACTGTGACATTAATATTTTGGGTGATAAACCTGAGGTGAGAAAGGCTAAATGAATTATTCTTTTTCTTCTCTGTATGTTCCAAAGCCCATACTGTTTTTTATTTTTATTACTTTTTAGGATTTTATTTATTTATTTGTCAGAGAGAGAGAGAGAGTGAGCACAAGCAGGGGGATGGCAGGCAGAAGGAGAAGCAGGTTCCCTGTTAAGCAAGAAGTCTGGTGCTGGACTCAATCCCAGAACCCTGAGCTCATGACCTGAACTGAAGGCAGATGTTTAACCAACTGACCCACCCAGGTGTCCAAAAGCCCATGGTATTTTTTTTTAATTAAAAAAAATACATATATATATATATATATATATATATATATATATATATGTTTATTTATTTATTTATTTTGAGAGAGAGAGAGAGAGCTCGCACTTGGAAGACAGGGCAGAGGGACAGAAACTCAAGCAGACTAAGGGCTGAGAATGGAGCCCAAAACTGGGTTCCATTTCACAACCTTGAGATGACCTGAGCTGAATGAAGTATCGGACACTCAACCAATTGAGCCACCCAGGCACCCACAAAGCCTATACTATTTGACTTCAATGAGCAAAAAGCAACGTATTTATGCTACCAATAAAGGCAACAGCATTAAAGAAAAAACTCCTAATTGCTTGTTTTCATTAATACTTGACAGAAAAGTTTAAGTTTTCCCTTTGAAACAAAGGGTTCTGGGAGGTTGTATTCATGTTTATATGTACATACCTTTGTTTATTGAAGGAAAAAGAATCTCTTGATCAACATTTCCTTTATCCTGCTCGTGTTTGACAATACATTTGTGTTCTTTATCCATTGATGCTCCAGTCACTGTCAGCCAGCTGAATTTCATGTATGTGTCGTTAGTCTTCATGGTGTCTCCCTGCTGGGATTTTAGAATTGTTTTGCCATCCTTTTCTTTCCAATCTATCTTGAAAACATCAGGGAAAAAATCTTCAAGTAGACAAAGATATGTTCCAGCCTTACAGAGTTTTATTTCAGCAATTGAAGGAAAGAAAATTGTAGGCTTGGGGGAAATGTCTTCATCAGGACTTTTATCTGTGGGAGAAAATGGAATAACAAAACATTATAAGAGAAACACAAATATATTGTGTGGTTTGAGACCACCCAGCATACAGTAAACAGAAGGAAAGATTTCCATAGAATTATTGCCTACTATGGCCTTTCATTCACAGTAGATTATGAGGTTTTTATCTTCTTAATTTCCATGCGAAAAGAGGTTATAGAGGTTATATAACTTGCCCAAAGTCACAGCTCTTAAGTGAAAAGGCCTGGATCAAAACATGGCATATTTTTACACAATACAGTCACTTGTTTGAATGGGAATCTATCAAGTTAACCTTTTAGTCACAAATATGGATCCCATGACCACCTCTGAGTACTGGAATTCTATTCTCCTTGATTTCTGATTTTTTAAAAAGATTTTTATTTATTTATTTGACAGAGAGAAAGATTACAAGTAGGCAGAGAAGCAAGCAGAGACAGAGGGGAAGGCAGACTCCCTGTTGAGCAGAGACCCTGATGCAGGGCTCAATCACAGGACCCTGAGATCATGACCTGAGCCAAAGGCAGAGGTTTAACCCACTGAGCCACCCAGGCACCCTTGATTTCTGATTTTATAGAACATCTCCTTCTCACACCTGAAAAATGCCAGGATTTTGAGTAGGGCTATGTTTATTGCTGCACCTCCAATTATGTACAATGGCTTAAATTTAGAAAAAAAAAAAAAAAGGACATATTTCTAAAACTTCTATTTTAAAAAACTTACTGATTATTTTCAGAAATGTTCTTATAGTAACATAATCAAGTAATGCACTGGGCAAAATTTTGTTTTGCTTTAGGAAATCTTGACTAAAATTACACTTTACATTGGAATTTCATTTCATTGGAAGTTGAAACATGACTAAGAAGATACTTTATTTTGACTCCCCACCTCTCCCCAAATTTGAATCTGCCTTACAAGGCTCCTGAACTTGTTGTAGTAGTCCACATTTTTCTTTCATTTCACCTGCTGAATAAAGTTATATCTAATGGTGTCATGTGAATAGTTATGGTCCAGAGTTTCTTGTAGACATAATGTCAAATTATATACTGATGCATCATGGTTTCCAGGTGCATGTCACTTGAATGCTGGAATATTCCTTGGTTATATATTTATTTTTAATTAATAATTTAAATTATAAATGTAGAACACTTTCCAGTTTGAGTTCCAACTGAAACTCAAATGCTTTATTGATTTTAGAATAATAATTTCATGGGCAACTTACTGTGAAAAGAAGAACTGAATTTCTCTGTTGAGAAGAAAGGAAAAGAATTCTTCAGAATTTTTGCCTGTGCAGAAAACTCCTGATTTTTACACTAAATTAGTAAGCAAATAATGATGAGCTTTTAAATTCATGCTATAAATAGGCATTCAGTCATAATGTACTTGTTTTAATTTTGTACATCTTCTTTATAGTGCCAATAGTATTTTCCTGATTATAATAGTAAGACACTGTATATTTACTCAACCATATACTTTGTTTTTAATTTTAAAAGCACGTTATATAAAGCAAGATTTATTTTTCAAAGTACATGATATTTACATAATTTTTGCCTCTAGTCATTACATTAAAAAATCTAGTTTTCATCTTAAAAAGTTTGGTTTTTGTTAGGAATACCTCTGATTCATCACACTAAAGAACTTGAAAATCAAATGATGAATTTGGAAAATTTCTGGATGGTAAGACCCCATATTTACCTCCTGTCACTTTTCCTCAGCTAGATTCCTGAAGGTTCATTCTTTACAGGATAATAGGAATCTTGAACTTCCATAACTATCTAAATGAGCATTAAATAGTATTCTTGATTATATGTGGCTAGTGTCTGTATTTTACATAATTATATTACGTAGTTTTTCTTTTAACATTCTTTTTTTTTTTAAGAGTTTATTTATTTATTTTAGGCAGAGAGAGAGAGAATGCATGGGGTTGGGGGGTGCAGAGTAAGGGGAGAGAAAATCCAGAACAGACACCTGAAGCCCAACACAGGGTTCAGGGTTGGATCCCACAAACCTTAAATCATAACCAGATGCTTAACCAAATGAGTCACCCAGGTGCTCCTCAACATTCTTTATTAAACTTATAAAGAGTATTTTTTAGGACCACAATCACTTGATGTATGAAATAGAAACCAGTTTACAAAATAAATAAATTTTTCCAATACATTTATATATATTTATAATAAAAATATTTCTGGTAAATTGCCTTTGTTATATATATTTGATGAATATGAAGTAGTATGAAACTATATAAACTAACCAAATGCAACCACATATTCAATAAAGTATGGTATTGCAAACCTGCATATTAACATTGTTTCAAAATTCCTCTATTTCATTCTTCTCATTTTTCTTTTATTAAATAATTAAAGCTATTTCATATGTAAATATTAATTACAAATTTATGACATTTTAAAGTATATTTAAAAGTACTAATTGTATCCCTAACTATATTTCTAAGTATACACTAAATAAAATTTCAAATTTTAATTGTTTTTCCACTAAATGCCAGTATGAAACCCAAACTTGGTGTTAGACATTATATCGGTTAAGACAAAGGATTAGGATTTAAGTACTTAGGACAACCACAAAAATTCAAAAAAGCCTGATGTAATTTTTGTGCCAAGTGAGGGAAAATCCATTAAGCAAATACCTCTAAATTCAAGGTTTTCTTTTAACCTTTTTTAAAAGATTTTATATATTTATTTGCAAGAGAGAGAGAGAGAGAGAGGGAAAGAGAGAGAGAGACTGAGAGCACGAGCAGGGGAGAGGGGCAGAGGGAGGGAGAGAAGCAGATATCCTGTTGAGCAGGGAGCTGGACATGGGACTTGATCCCAGGATCCTGGGATCATGACCTGAGCTGTAGGAAGACACTTAACCAACTGATCCACCCAGGTGCCCCAGTTTTTTGTGTATCAGAGGAGAGTAAGGTAACTTTCCTCTGCAGTGGTTAGAAGTACAGCTGAATCTTCTGGAGAATTTCTGCTCTGTCACTATGATTGACTACAAACTACTCTCCATACTGGATACATTTCTCCCTTTAGGTCTGAAATGGGGTAAGATCTATTCACCACCCACTATGTTTTAGACAACATGTCAAGTAACTTATTCACAGTCTCTCATTTAATTTTCATGCGATGCTGCTCATACACCGTCTATTTTTTTTTTCTGTTATCCTATCTTATGGATTAAGAAACTGAGACCAGAAAATAATTGCCCAAGTTCACAAAAGCAGCAAGTGGTAGAGCTGGAGCTCCAGGTTTCCCTGAGTCCAAAGTCCAGGCTGACAACAGCCTTTCACCATCTGGAAAGGAAATGTGTCAACTCACACAACTTATCTGTCATGATCAACTTCAGTCTTGGGACAAATGCTTTCTAGACAATTACACATGCTGTGCATGAGGACTTTGTACAAGTCTACACAGACACAAAGTCAGATCCTATTATAGTGTATGGGCAATGTTGTCTATGCTGACCTTTACTGGAAGGATTGGCATTAAAATCTGTTTTAGGATTTCCACATCTAAACATACTTTGAAAATGAGAGATTATTGGGGCTCCTGGTGGTTCAGTCAATTAAGTGTTAACCTTCAGCTCAGGTCATGATCCCAGGGTCCTGGGATTGAGCCCCCACATTGGGCTCCCCGCTCAGTAGAGAGCCTGTTTCTCCCTCTCCCTCTGCTATTCCCCCTGCTTGTGCTCTCTCTCTGTTAAATAAATAAATAAAATTATGAAACTGATGCACAACGTACTGTGCTAAGAGGGCGGCTTTATAAATAAATAAAATAAAATAAAAAGAAAATAAGAGATTATCATTATCATTACCATTATTATTAGCAATTTGTTTGTGATGATTGTATGCCCCAACATGACATTTTAATCTCATGGGACCAAACCTTCCCTTACTAATCGGAATGCAATATTTGGAGATAAAAATTGGACCTATGTCAATCAAGCAACAAGATTCATTCCTTCATTTGTATTTCACTTGCTCTACTATTTCTGGAATTCTCTGAACCATCAACACTGAAAATGTGCCTTTCGCACACCAGTTATTAGGGAATCACTTATTTTATCCACTGCATTTCCAGTGTTAAGAAAATCAAAGGGAAGCTAGTAAAGCCTAGTGATATGTAGTTAGTTCATAGAACCGATTCACCTATGTTATCTCCAAAGCAAAAGCACTTTTCCCACCAACAGCACAATCTATAAGCATTCCAAGATCTCCTCAGTAATTTCTACCTCGAAGCGACTTCCTCCCAGGTCATGTCCAAAGTCTGGCTTCAGACTTCTACAGTGAGCCTTCATGGTGTTATAACTAGATCAATGGCTGGTTGTTTGGTCTTTCGAGCCTTCCATTATCACGTTAGATCACTAGACTGTCACCTGCCTGACCAGGTCTGCTGAAGGTAACCATCTGTGAATGACATTAAATGTCATGGTGCCCATAGTAATGATGCAGTGGGAGCATGATATGTGTTTGTTAAAGACCATTTCTTCCATTTTATAAAATGCATATGGAAGGTAATGCCCACTCTTTTACTTAACATTTCTCCTAAAGGACTCATGTATTGAAGACTTTTTATCATTTTATGGTGGGAAAATATATTTAAAAATTTGGTGGTGCTTCATTTTCTCAGTTAATAAAAAGTATGTACTCCATTACATTTTTATCCTACCATTGAACATAAAATTTTACTCTATGTTTCTTGCTAGATAATCACAGGCCTTTTTTCTTCTACTTCCCTTATGCTTTTCGTCTTCTATTTTTATTTCATGGTCTAACTCTATTTGTGTATCTTGGGTCTTCTCAAATAGATTTTAGAAATAAGCAGTATAAATAGATGAGAAATGAAGTTTGTACATTAGAGTTTGTTTCTTTTTCTGCCCTAGATCTTGATAGTTTAATAGGGTCTACTTTAAAGGAGACCACATGAAAAATGGGAGAAGATATTTGCAAATCCCGCTCTGCAATATAGATGTAAAACATTCAGAATTCAAACACACTGAAATGCCAAACCATAAGGTGAAGCTTTTGTTCCCAAAATTATGCCTCATAATAACAGAGGTTGCCTTATGTTTCAGTGTGGGCAATCTCTCATTTTAAAAGATGCACTTTAATACTTTAATCAAACAATACAGTTGGACA